TCCACACCGGGCCCCCCCCCTCCCCCCGCTCATTCCCCCAGACCTGAGCTCCATGTCGTCGGGTCAGGGTCGATCCAAGGACCTCCTGGACGGGCTGATGAAGGCAGTGGAGATGTTCGTGGGGGCGGGGGGCTCCCGGAAGGGGGGTTCCGCTCCGGGGCTAGGGGAGGGAGGAGGGGCAGGGGCAGGGGCAGGGGCTGCCGGTATTGGGGGTGTGGGCAGCCGGTCTAGGCGGAACTTCAAGACCATGCCGTCGGGGCTCAGTCCCGGCCCCGGCGCCGCCGGACGTCAGTCGCCGTTCCAGGGGTTTGCTGCGGGGGCGACGGCGGCCGCGGTGGAGGAGGAGGAGGACTTGGGCGGGGAGGAGGGGGCACAGGTACGGGTTTGGGGGCCCTGGGGTTTGTGTCAGGGGAATGTACGACGGGTTGGGAGTGGAAATGAGAGTAGGGGTAATCTGCCTATCGTTTCCCCTTCCCTCTTCTCATCCAACTTTGGGCGTGTTCGTGTCGGCTTCCGGTCTTTGGCGTTCCCCGGACCTATCTCCATCTGGGGGGTAGGGTGGGGGACTTAGGACAGGAAGGGGAGACTTGGGGCCCGCGCCCTCTCCCACCGCCCCACGTTGCCCCCCTCCGTCAACGTGCCTCCCCGGCGGCCTAAAACGCCCCGGGCCCCACCCCCGCCACCCCCGCCAAGTGTTTTTCAATTCGTATCAATTCGTATCAATTCGTATCAATTCGTATCAATTCGTATCAATTCGTACAGTGCCTCCTAACACGCACGAAACGCAATTTTGCACGTTTCCACTCGGACCTTCTTCAGGGTCCTCGCTACCCGGTGCGGCCGTACAGTGGGGTGTACGGCTCCGCTGAGAAGCTGACGGATCGTGTACGGAAGAAGGGGGCGCTGGCAGTGCTGTCAAACCCGGCAGGTGCGTGTGGAGTGCGTGTGTGTATCCCATTTTTGAATATCTTTCCCGGCCACCCCTTCCCTTCCCCCCCCTCCGCATGTTGCACATCCACCTCCCCCCCTGTTTCTTATCCTCATTACTATCTGTTGGTTTTATACCTCCCCCCCCCTCCCCCCCCCCCGTCTCCCATTCCTCCCATCCTACCTTCCCAGGCTTTCGTGAGGAGGTGGCTGCGGGCGAGGTGGCGCTGTACCGCGAGGTGAGGCCCTTGGGGGAGGAAGGAGGGGGACGGGGGCGACAAGGGGGAGGAGAACGACGAGGAGGAGGTCTGCGAAGTACCAGTACGGCAATACACACAACCAATGATAAGCAGCGATAGCCGCTGTGGACGTGCGGCAGCGGCCATGACGGCGCCGCCCCCGCTGCTCCCTTTGCCGCCGCCGCCCCCGCCGCTCAATCGCGTGCTGCTTTCCGCCGCTCCCGCTGCCGTCATCCTGCTGCAGATCGCCGAGCGTTGCCGTACAGCTCTTGTTCGTACTGCCCTCCACCCCCGGGATGCGTTGATGGTGGCGGAGTTGCATCGCCAGGTGAGAGGCAGGGGTGGGGTGGGGTGGGGTGGGGTAGGGTGGGGAAATGGAGGGTGTGTAGTGGGGTTGTGCTGTAAGTGCGGTTTGCCACTCGCCGCTTTAAGCCCCCTCCCCTCACCCCCCTCCCCCTGCCCTCCCCCTGCCCCTCCCTTCACCTCGCCCCTGATCCCTCTTTGTAATGGTTGCAAGGTTTGGTCCAGCTGCCGTTGGGCCGCGTGCTGCGGCCCCCTCATCCAACTGCAGATCTGAGTCCGCTCACTTCCCCCACCCGGCCCC